CGGCTCTCAGTGCCGGGGAACTCCCTGAGGAGCTGACAGTCCCCCTTCCCCCCCGTCCCACCTTAAATCGATGGAAGTGCACCTGGGGAGGATGTGCACCACTGGCAGAAGGAGGGTAGTGTGGACATGAAAAAACACAGTAATTACTGCAGCGGTTGTAAGGCTGACTTAATTGTGTAGTGTATCAGAGTAGCCGTATTAGTCTGTATCCACAAAAACAACAAGGAGTCCGGTGGCACTTTAAATAAATTTGTTAATCTTTAAAGTGCCACCAGACTCCTTGTTGTTAATTGTGCAGTGTAGACAAGGCCCTAAGGAACTGAATTGTCAGCTGAGGCTGTGACTGATGCAAATTCAATCAGCAGAGCTTTTACTGAAACACTAGCCTGACCCCGGCGTTGTGGCATAGAGAGCTCCAACAGCTCAGGGAGCCAAACTAGGGGGTGCTATTTTCAAGACTAATAAAATACTATGCATGTAATCCTGGCCCTATTGAAGTCAATGGGAAAAAACTCTCATGGTTCTCTATTCCAAGCAAACAGAATGTTTAGGGTGATGTCCCTTTACAGCCTAATAAAAAAACCCGGAATAAACTGGCTGCTGTATTTAGGTAGTCACGAGTGGAAAAATCTAAAGAAAGAGATGTCAGGTTTCCTTCCCAACCCCCCTTCCAAGCAGAGAGGGGAAGCTGGAAAGAAGCAGCATGACAGAGATGCTAAAGTCAACTGAAGAAAGGAAACTTTGCTCATTAAGATCTTCTAAAAATTTACTGATAGTATGTGGACTCAGGAAGCAGTAATACTAAAACGGAGGTGTTCATGCAAGGTGATGTGGGGTGCAATCACAATAGGATAAGATCAGGGTGAAAACACAATAGGCCAAGCTCATCTTCTCTAGTGCAGGGGAGGCATGCACCTTCCTGGAACAAGGTCTGCTGCACTCCAGCAGGAAGATTTGCACTGTGGGGGGATAAGGTAGCATTTCTACTATATCCGTCTACCAAGGAACAATAGTTTTATTTTGTTAATGGGGTTCCATGAGAGTCCTGTTGAAGGAGCCTGCAGGGGGGATATACTGAAGAAACACACATCTCTGTCACAACCCCTCCTCCCCCCAACCAGCACTAGGCATTTTCCAAAGTATGCTGATCCAACATAGGCACCAAAATGGAGGTAAGTCACAGAGCTTTGAATGACCCCAACCTCCCTGATTTTCTTTCACATGCACTGCATCTTTGTAAGGCAGTGTTGAATCTGGCCCTGCTGACAGAATACAGGAATCCAGGTCACCCACTCTGCTTTACACTACACTGTCCAGGCCCTACTATATGGTATTCTTCCTTTTGAGAAACAGAAAGGTATCACAAGTCACCCCCATGAGACTCCCTGTGGTTAAGAAAGAACTCTTTGTCAACAAGTGACCTCATGGCTAGGTACAGTATGATTTGGGTTACATTGTAATAGGCTACAGAACTGTTCTTGGAACTGCAATCTAGTAATAGACTTGTCAGAAATATGTACTCATGTCTGGATTGACATCTAGAACAGAAACTTGAATTAATTTAGTACTGGCTTGACTGGCATTGATAATGAAGGCTTCCTTTTATGCACAGAACATATATAGAATCCATGCAAGCTTCACTTATGCTCCCCACCAACCTGCTCTATCTCTGAGTTGGAGTGACCACTTCTCAGTGCGAGTGGGTAGTTCACAACACACTGTCTCCAAGTCTGCTAACAACAGTGTCAGTGTGTGCCCACTGTGGTGATGGTTTCTTGTGATAAGGACAGCTGAAATATGAACTGCTCTGACACCACCAACTCATTTTGCATGTTGTGTACCACCAGCCATCATAATGTTAACTCTAATGGAGTTTAAAAACAACCACCTATTGGGTAAAAGCACCATCTCCTATTACCACTCACCTGAGCCATCCAGACACCCTCCCTCCCAATCCAGCAACATTTAACATCAAGCAAAAGGTTTCCCATACACACTGCATTGGGTCATACCACTGGTGTTTGTGTATGAAACAAGTTCAGACTTTTGTCTTTGTCTTCTTGTCAGAACCTTGAAATTCTGTTTCAATTAACTTTATGACAAGAATTATATAACTAACATTTAGAATAGCCCTGACTTTTACTGACATATTTCTGATCTACTCTATCAAAAATCCTCCTTACCTTTAGAGTTTGAGATTTTTTCATTAAAGATTTAATACATATCTTACCAGAGACCCACATTTTTAACTACTGACCTGAGAAACATTCAATACCTCAGTCTGGATTAGCTAGTTTGGAGTAAGCCTACAACAATGGTCCTGCTTAACCTAGGGAGGTTGTGGAATCTCCATCTCTGGAGATATTTAAGAGTAGGTTAGATAAATGTCTATCAGGGATAGTCTAGACAGTATTTGGTGCTGGGGGACTGGACTCGATGACTTCTCAAGGTCCCTTCCAGTCCTAGAATCTATGAATCTATTAACAGTGGGCTTGCTGAAGTCTCTTCTACATTTAAGAATTACATCAGCACATCCACATTACCCATTATGTTTCAGGGTCACCAGTATAGCAGGCTCATAAAAAGTATTCCCTGCAACTGTTGCAGTATCACTGCATTCTGGATCCCTATCCCAATTCCCAGCATAGCTCCTCAAAAGTATCTCATTGCTTAGCACTATAAAGTGCAAAATGAACTCCCACAGTAGAGACTTTTAACATAAACATTAAATATTGTTTTTAAGAACTGAATGAAACTGACAAAGCGTTGCAGGTTGGGAGCTGTGTGAAATAAATTTTGGGATTAGAGTCTACCTCTCAATGGATGAGTGACCATTTCCACCCCTCACACTAGGTCTCAGCTATCTATCCCCTTGGTGTGATTCCCTCTAATAATAACAATATCAGTGAAGGGAAGAAAGAGGGTATATTTAAACTGTGTTGGAAATTCTTGTGTTATCTCAGTTGAATTACATAAGAGGACCAAGCCTTGATCAGAAAGATCAATGGAGAGATAGCAGGAGTAACGGGGGGTAGTGCTAGAACGACCAGTGCACTGAATTGCCAGCTTTCAGGCTACAAGGGGCTTAGCTTCAATGCAGCATTAGCTTGAGGAATAAGTCCAGGGATGCTCCTAACCAGACTCCCAGCCACACACAAACATTTCTAGCTCAACTGAAGCGGTGCTTTAAATTTGTGCTAACTGGCTCATCGGGGGCATGGGTTGAAGTCTGAATGCTTCTGAATCCTGAGCTAGTAAAACAGCCAGGATTCAACTACTATGTGCAGCTAATATAACTACTCTGTGCAGTTTGACTGGTCTCACTAGACTACCTCAAGAGAAGTTACCTTAGATATAGATGACTTGAGCTAACGCCACAGTGTCCATAAGCCTTAGAACTTCAGTGGGGCAGAGTGACGAAATAGGAAGCAATAGTAATGAAACTTGTTGCACGCCTTTCCACTTTCAGAACTCAATGCCAGATTTCGCCCTCTGATGTGGCTTTCCCTTACTGATTCACACACTCTGTGGCCAACCCCAATTCTAGTGCCCTTCCATCAATAAGACAAGTATTTCCCATAGTAATCGGAGACTTTGGGGGGAGGGGAAAGGACCTATTTATTTATTTTAGAAAACCAACACAAAGTAAAGCCCTTTGCAAATGTAGTTTACCGTATCTTTGTAGAAAGACAGCTACTTCCTCAGCTTCTCCTCACTCATTCAGTCCTCTAACCAAAGACTCTACTTCTTACAGGATTAAATAAACAATATAAATAATAAGAATCCAACAAAACACCCAAAAGCCTTCACTATTCAGCATAGAGGCCTGCACCTCTTCTAAGGGCTCAAACAACCCTTTGAGACAATCACACAAGGAGCTCTTACTTCTTCCAGGGTATTTACTGGATTTCTAGCTTAAATTACTCCCCTTCAGACCACTTCCATGCTCTCAAGGCCCTTTTCTCAGCCCTTTAATTGTTGTTTTAAACCTCTTCCTAGATGTTTCATAGAGAGACCCTACAACCATCCCACTCCCTTCAACTATAAAACAACACAATAGATGTTATGTTTTCTCTAGGAATTACCAGGGGGTTAGGGGGGCTACCTCTTTTATAATCCTTCCCCAGCATATTTTACTGCCCAGCCTAGATTCCATAATCCCAGTCCCAGAGTACCTTTGTTCTGGGCTGACCCAGGAGAGCCAGCACTGGCAATTGAGCTCCTCTTAAAGGGACAGCTTGTCCTGTGATACTTCTATAAATGCTTTCATTTCCTCGAGCTCATTCAGCCAAAGCTCACATCACACAATACATAAGCGAAAGTACATACGCTTCGCAGCGCTCCTACGCAGGGTAGAGAGAAAGAACAGTTTTCTTCTAGCACCAGCCATCTCCCTAGGAGTTTGCCCTCATCTGGTCCCACGCTGAAAACCCCTATTATTTTCTGGGGCTTTGGAGGAGGCGGTACTTGGGTAGGCTGAGGGCTACAGGGGTTTGGTGGATAATTATCTAGGGGCAGCTCTTTTTGACTGTACCCCTTCGAATAAACCAGTGGATAGGTGCTTGTGGAAATGCAGTGTAACTGTCCTGCCCCCTTCCCTTGAGCTGCTGGCTGAGGTAACTCCTCTGAGTCCCAGCTCCCCACTGCCAGGCATGCATGGCCTAAGGAGGCTGGGCTGGGCTGGGCTTCACCTAGGGGACTTGTGTCCCCCCTACATAGTATGAGGAAGATGCAGGAGTGAAACACCCTGCTCCACGAGGGGAGGAACTAGGAGTCCTGCTGGCTGAGCCCGCCCACTTCCTGGTTTGCCAATACGGCCAAGTTCAACAGCAGCACCGAGCGTGGGCTCCCTCCTTCCCCGCGTTACAGTGAGGGCCATCGCCTGACCTTCTCAAAATGGCGGCGGGGTGGCTCTCCCCCCTGGACCTCCCCAAGATGGCGACGCAGGGCGGTCGGCCGCCGGAGCCTGGTTGTGCGAAGTGCGCTTGCGCGCCGGGGCCCTGAGTGCAGTGAAATTCCGGGAGGGAGGGGGGAGGAGGAGGTGGCGAGTGAGCGGCAGACACGGAGCGACGGGCTTAAGCCCCAGTTAGGGACCCTGTGTGCTACGGCGGCGCCCGACGCGGAGCCAGACCCCGGGGGGGCCAGGAGCGGGCGGCGTGAGGGGGACTCGCCGCCGCCGGCCAGTTCGTTCGCCGCAGCAGCAGCGTCGCCGCCGCCGCCGCTCGGACTCCCTCCTCGGGCAGAGAGGGGGAGAATGACGGAGCTCCAGTCCGCCTTGCTACTGCGGAGGCAACTAGCAGGTACCGGGGCTGGGGCCTGGGCTGGGGGCGGCGGTCCGGGAGCCCCGCTCAGGGAGGCAAGCTGCGTCGGGCCTGTGGCGGACGGGAGCTGGCGGTGGGGGGCGGGAGCATGAGGTCGGGGGAGGGGGGGAGTTACGGGCCGGCTGTGTGGACAGGCGTGGGGGGAGGAGGGCAGATTGGGGCACCCCTTCCCCCCGCGCCGGGAGCTGAGGGAACTAGGCCGCCGGGGGGAGGGGGAGCTGCGTGGTGATCCAGGGGAGGGGAGCTGCGTGCTGGAAGCGGGGGAGGGGCTCAGACTGGGGTGCTTGGAGGGCCATAATGGGGGTTAGGGTCTTTCCTTCCCCCTGCGATGGAGGTGGCTGTCGGGCGCGTTGGAGTTCCCCCCCCCCTCCTTGGTGGCAGGCGGAGTGAGGGGGGGTCCCCTTGTGTTCTCTCGGGGCGGGGCCTAAAGAGGATTTGAGGGACTCCCTTGTGGTCCCCCCGTGAACGTGCCCAGGGTTTTCCCCCTTCCCTGCTAGGCTGGGGTGCTGCTCAGTAACAAAGCTCCAGGAGGCGATGGCTTGTCTTGTCTCTGTGGGGCTGAGTCCCGTCCCCCCCCTTACGGGGAGGGTCTGCAGCTGTCACAGCCCCTCTTTCCCCCGAAGCAGCGGGCACGGCGCTCCCCCCTGCTCTGGGGAAGGGTGGGCATCTTCCTCCTCCCTTCTTTTGTTTTAAGCTCTAAAGTAGGAGGCGTGGGGTGGGAATCGGACACGCCCGGGGTCTGGGCTGGAGGCGTGCGGGTGCCAAGTAGGGGTAGGGGGCTGGGACTGGGGGCGCAGGGTGGAAGACGGTGGCGAGATCCGGCTCTGCCCCAGGTGTCTTGGGGGAGGGGAGACGATAGAAAAGGTCGGGGTCGCTGCTTGGTTCACTTTCTGACTCGCTTCTCGATCTCCCCTCCCCCTTCCTTTGTCCCTGGCCTGACCAGCCTTGCATGGCTAGCACAGTGCCTCAGCCACTGCTGCTGATACAAGGGGACCTGGCTCGGCTCGGCCTGTCCCGGCGGCAGCGCCGAGCATGCGCGGGGCCGCCCGGGCGGCTGGTCTCACAATGCAGCTCCATGTGCTGCTAGCTGCCAGATTTAAAGAGAAATGATCCAGCAGTTGTGGCTGTGTCGGCTGCAGCAAGCAGCGTGTCATTTTCTTTTCTCCCTCCCTGCCGGAGCACATGCTCCCCCTGGATCCCTCTAGTTTCCTGCTACCAGAATGAAGTAATCCCCTTTAAAAACAGATTTACCCGGTATTTGACTAAGGTGTTAGTCAAACCTAATGGCCTTTCCCTTGTCTTGTGCAAAAAAAGATTGCTTCACATCATAAGGAAATGTATGGTAGGAAGTAGAACTAAACTCTGACAAATGAGGCTTTAGTGAGTGGAGGAGTCACACAGGGGAAGGAGTCATTCAGTGACAATGGAAACCCAAGTGTAGCTCTAGTGTCAGAGGAATTACTGGAATTAGACTTGAAAAAAGGCAGTAGAAATTGTCCTGTACAGGGGCAGTCCTTCCTGGGACTTGTTCCCTCAGCAGAATGAGGGAACAAGATGACCAGTAGCTCCCTTCCAGTATTAATGTCTAGCTTGCGACATAAGCAATTTTTAGACTGTTGGTTTTATATAAACTTAAAAAAAATGCAACTTCCTGCTCTGTCTCTCTTGTTTTAAATGAGTAGGTCTACATTACAAAAGAATGCATGAACTCAGGTTACTAATGTGAGTTAAAATGAGGGTGACCAGATAGAAATCAGGACACTTTTTTGCGGGGTGGGGGGTTACTTGCATATATAAGACCAAGCTCATAATATTTGGGGAGTCCCAATAATAGTGGGATGTCTGGTCACCCTTGTTAAAATAACTGAAGACAAGGAAACTCTGCTCTTAATTCAGGTTAGCAACTAGAGTTCAACCCCAAGCTCCTCTAAGGTTTGAACTCTAGCTGCTGACCCAGATTAAAAACCAAGTTGCTGTGTGTTCACTGATTTAACATTACCTACATTAAACACAAATTCTGTCTGGTAAACTACACATGTGTAACAGTGTTAACTAGTGTATAATCTCTTAAAGATGGTGTAGGAAAAGTTGTAAGGAAGGTGTCTAATGCATAATGTGGCTAAAATTAATAGTGTTAGCAATGGCAATGTTGAATGTATCTGTTCACTTTTTGCAGTACTGAAAATCTTATGGTCTCGACACTCAGTGTATAGAGTTGTCCAGAAATCCTATAGTTTCTTAGAAGGACTTATTGTTTGCATCTTTTTGTGAATAGGCGTTGGGTGTATGCAGTGAAAGTGGTCTGTTTTGTTGTAATTGCAAAGCTCAGTAACTGCAATAAAGACTCGTTAGGTTGGGAATTCTCCAACTTTCTGCTTCGAGTCACTGATGCTTCTCTGAAAAAATGAATAATCAAATGCCTCAGACATGGCTTATGATCACAAACCAAAAATTCTTGGTTATATATTTAACTTAAGAGTTATGAGACCAAATGATGGCATAAATCAATAGACACAGTACATTAATGTTTTGGTGGCATTACTCCTGAAGATTGCGTAATTTGATATTGGATTTCTTGAAAGAATGGTAAAGAAACTATGTAGATTTGATTTCTGTAAGGAGTCTCTGAAATCCTGGGGGGCTCCAGCAGAGGGCTAACAAGAAAAAAGTGTGGGTAACTTCAGAGACTGGGCACTTGAGTGTACAGGTAGAATAGGTTTCAGTGCTTTGGGCTTAACTTGTATGCCCTTTCTGTTGAACTCCTGCTTAACTAAAACTTCAGTTTTAAAATGTGCTTTCAAACATTTTAAAAGACCACTAGTGAGACAACTTCAAAAACGTGTCACCATTGCCATCACTAATTCAACAGTATTAGGAGGAACAGTGCAAATGCTCTGTAATAGTACTGGGAACAGATCTAACCCAGTGTTATGATAATGCAGCTGGTAACCCTTCCCCATGTGGGTTCCCATTGTAGAATTCTGTTGTGCGCTGAACCTATGGTAAAGTCTAAACTTTTGGGAGGAAGGAGGGGGAGGTAAAGGGACCTTGAAGTCTTTGAAGTACTACTTGTCAAAATGATCACCCAAAGGACACTTCTCCATATTTTGATAGCATGGATGGGATTTCTAAAAAGCAAATTGAGCAGAAACTTGAGACTCTCAGACACTGCTCTTTTTGATAGGCCACTTGAAATCCTAATGCAGAGGTTGGACTTGATGATGTGTCTGCCATCTGACCCACTGCTGGCTGCCTTCTTCCAAGTCTGTTTAATTTTTTCACACCCACAATATTTGCTGTACCTCCAAACAAACTGTAACCTACTAATAGTCTGATACTACTGTTTTGATTCTGGTGGGACTAGTACTTCACACTCAGCGCTATGCATAGTAGGAAGGCTGGTGAGTCACAGGATGGGATTCAGGGCAGGGGCTGAGTACAGACAGCAAGTACATGTCTGAGATGCTTTGTGTCATCAAAGTTTGGTGACACAAACTTAAAAAGATACTACTACTTAAAAAGATAAGGGTATTACCTAAGCACAGGAGGTCTGAATCAGAGCTGTTAGACTTGGAGCAAGCGGTGGGTGGGGAGCCTGAGAGCTGAAGGTAGAGGAAAAAATTAGTGGATCTAAGAGCCATCAGTAGGGCAAGGAGTGGGATAGAGATTGACTGACTGCATTCTCCCAATGTAGTTAGGAGAGAGAAAAGTGGGATCATAGCAATTATAATCCCACTTCCCTTATACTTCTACTGGTAGTAAAGTACTTGGTATAGGAAATTGTTTTCCTCCTCCCACCCCCAATCTGTGGCAAAGTACCATAGACTTCAATAGAAGTTGGTTGGCACTGTATGTATCCAAGAGCAGCTTTTAACCAGGGTATCACTAGCTTTAAAGTAAGCCATCTTCCCCACTAGCTAGAAATGTTTTTCTCTAAAAGAAAATACAAACTTGAGCAGAACCTTTAATTAAAAATCTTTAATCATGGAGATGTAATGACACTAGGGAAAGCTGTAGGCACTCTTCATGTACAATCTGCCACAATATGCTACCCTGGTTATCTTTTTGCATTGTGGGAAGTCTAGCTAGAAGAAAGCTGGTTCCCAGTAGTCCTGTAACTTAAATCTTGACTTGCTGCTGCCAATGCTTCTGTCAGCTGACAGGGTGATCCTCTTGCCTGTATGAAAGTAATAGTCATAGCCAAGTGCTAACCCTTTTCTTGTCCTGGATAACACTAACATCTTAAGCTATAGATGGGTTGAGCCTAATTTCTCAACCTGACTTGAGATGTGAATATATCTGATTTCGTATCCAACTTTCTTCCTCTTTCCACCTTGCTCTAATATGCTAATAGATCTTGTCTGTCTCTTCAATGTAGACTGGACAGTCCTGTTTTTTGTAAAGGATGCATTGACAGAAGCAATAAATAACTTTTCACATCAAATTATAGACACTATCAGTGTTGTACTGAAAGTACATGCACATTGTATCAACTAGATCCTGGACTAATACAAGAAGCTGTCAAATCTTGACTAAAGGAGTCCTATTGTGTAATCGAAGGTTAATAGCAGTCAAACTTAACATGGCAAGCCTTACTTTATATGGGACAAGCAGATGTAACATTAACACTGGTAATTAGTTGGTATTGTCCACCTCTGATTTTTTATTTAAAGGGGAAGCATTAATTACTACCATCACCAGAGCAGCAATATTTCTGGGACAGCTGTACCAGAGAGAGAAGTGACCAAATAGGAACTAAACTTAAAGTGGTGGGCTTTTTGACTCCAGTGGCCTTTCCTACCCAGCAAATCCTTTGTCCTGAAGTATACCCTAATTAATGCTAGTAGCTTCCCCTTACTCCCCTTCCATCAAAGTAAATTAAGTTGCCACACAGCCAACTCAACCATGTTCTGGTTGGATTTTTCTAATTTCTGTTGGTGACAGTAACCAAGGTGACCATTAAATTAAGAACTTCCTCT